CACACGCGCGTTCCTCTCGCCCACCCCAGCGTGCGGCGTGGGGAGGCCTCGGGGGTCCGGAGGAGAGGCGGAAGTCCGGGAGACGACCCCCCTGCCGTCCCGAGGCCGTGCGGTGACACACGCCGTGCGTGTGCGTGTGCGTCACTGCTGGCCCGCGCACCCCGGTGCGCACGTGGCGCGGCGCTTGAGGCAGTGCCGCCCCCTCGGAGACCCCTCGCAGCGGCAGCGCCTCGGGACTCGCACCCCGGGCGGGGGCTGAGACACCTCCTTGCCCAGGGTCGCCCTCCCCACCCGGGCTCACACCCGCAGTGCGACGTCGGTCCCGAGCACGCCTTCCCTCTTGGGAACCTTTGCCCCGCTGGCCCGTGCCTGGAGTGCCCTCCTCTGTTCTCCAGCCACTTGGCACCGCCCTGGCTGCCCTCTAGGACCAGCTGCTGCCCTGCAGGTCCACCTCTCCCAGGGAGCCCACCTTGATTGCTACGACAGCTGAGATCAGGGCCCGAGCAGCTCAGGTGAACATCACCTGACTTGGACCTGACCCTATGGGTGCCCCTTCTTCTCTGCCTCCTGTACCTGTGTGGTGTGATCCAACCCCACAGGTTGCCGACGTCGGCTCGGGGTCACTGGCCTGACAGCAGCTCAAGACTCCTGGTGTGAGTGGCTGTCTGCCAGCCATGGGGCTCGTCCCCAGAGTGGGCTGAGAGTTGGGGGACCAAGGCACCAAGGTACCCCAAATGGCTCCTGGGGGCCAGGCCGGGATCTAAGTATTGTGTTTGATGTCCCTGGGCCTTCTGATGTGACCCGAGAGCATGTACACATGCTTGCTTCAGGCCTCCCTCAAGGCTGGCTTCTCACCCCGTCACAGTCGCTGTCCCCCCACTGGTATGCTGACCACCACCCCACTCTTCTGCAGTCACAGGGCATGGCCTGCTAATCTACAGCTCTCACTCCATCCCCCAGCTCCCTGGTGGCTTCTCTCTTGTCCCAGGTCACTCCTTCCCTTGGGCCCACCCTGACCTCTACCTGCCTGCCCCAGCCCCCCTGCTGCTTCTGCTGTCACCACTAGTGCCCATGAAGCAGCTTTTAGGTTCTTGGAGCTCTGTCCAGTGCTCTCCTGCAGTGGGGGCCCTGTGAAGGCAGGGCTGGGACTGGCAGGTTAACCATGGGTCCCCACTCAGGCCAGCACAGGGCTCCTCACGGGGTCAGATCCCAGGTAGGATGCCCCAGGCCCACCCTATCAGCAGAATCCACACAGCACCTGTGAGGGACAAGGGGCTGTTGCCGACTTGTAGGTACTTCCAGAGGACCAGTCGGGGTCCAGCAGGGCTTGCACTCCCCTGTGCCTGGACAGCCAGACTGCCCTGCTTCCCTAGTCTTTTGGGCTGGAGGGGCAAGAATGCCGGAGAATGTTCTTGGTTTAGCTGGTAACTATGTCAGGATGTGGCTTTGATGGCGGATTCAAGTCAGCTGAGAGAGGCTGGGGTCCCCTCGTGGCCTCCCCAGGAGGTCCTTCAGTCTGGCATGTGGGCCTTCAGACCGGTTCCCCTCAGGTCCTACTGGCCCCTGTGCCTCGCTGGTCCCCAGCTAAGTCATTCTTGAGAGACCAGCATCTGCGGGGAGGGGAACCCCACTCCTGCCCCTCCCCCAAGCTCCCGCATCTTGCTCTGAATATTGCCCCAAACTAAGCAGCGTGGACTCGCTCCTTCAGAAGGGGTGGTGTGCGCTCAGTGCCAGAGCTCTTCCTCCCCCTTCTCCTGATGGCAAGCTGTAGACCCCAGTGGGGCTCCTGCCACACAGGGCCTCTGTGGAAGCTTCTGGAGGGCTGTGAGAGTGGGGAGGGGTCCAGCAGCCAGTTCTGGAGCGGAGGGCAGAGCAGGAGGCAGCTTTTTTCCTTGAATGGGGATTTTTTCCTGAGCTTCATCTGTCACTGTTGTACATGCATCTGTGTGTGTGTTGAGGACCCTTGCACTTGCCATGAATTCTGTGAGTGGTTGGAATGGACCCTAACCCCGCACCCCCATCCAGGGGTTGTCCATCCAACACTGAGGCCTCTTTCAGGCTGCAGCTGGGTGGAGGAGTGGGCTGGGCAGAAAGCCTGGCCTCTCTGCCTGTGCAGCCACCCAGGCAACCATGTCTCTTCTGGCAGGAACGCCCTGGATAACTCAGCCTGCCTTGCCCTGCCCCTACCCTGCAGGTGGGCATGGCCCACCCCTTTCTCAGCTTGGCAAACTGAGGCTCCAGTGGGTCCTCCCGGCTGTGCAGCCTCTGCCCTCCTTGCACTTGGGGGCCAGGCTGAATCTTGGAGACCTGAGGGCCTGTTGCCTTTTGCTGTGGGTATGGCCTTTGGGTGGCTGATCCCAGGACACTCCCAAACCCCAGTCAGGTTCCCAGCAGTGCAGGACACCAGTCTCTGCTTGTTTTTTCCTGGTTCCTGAAAGGCCCATCCGGTGGGCCTTAAAAATAGCTCTGGGCTCCACAGGCAGGCCCAGCCCACGGCAGCAGAGCTGGGGCCGCTCTTGCAGGCGGAGGGGTCAGCCAGGAGGAGGGCTCAGCAGGTGGAGGTGCTGGGTCCTCTGCCGCTGACCCACTGCAGAGGTTCTGCCCTTCCCTTTGGCCTCCCACCCACCAGAGTGCCCGAGGCCCAGGCCAGCGTGGCACGGGCATCACCACCCACTGGGCCATTCTGCTGGGAGGCAGAGGGTTCCTTTGCCTGCCGGTCCTTTTCTAAGCAGGTGTTTTGCAAGGAGGGGGCTGGGGAAACAGGGCAGATCCTGCCAGAGGGTCTGCACCCCCGTTCCCACCTAGCCCCTGAGTCATCCGGCCCCTGCTGCCACCTTTGCCTCCTCTTCTTCATCCTCTTCCTGTGGTGGACATGCAGCCAGCCCCACCAGGTCACCCTGTCCTGCTGCTAGGGGGGCTGCTGTTGCCATGGTGACTGGAGCCAGGCTGACCTCCCTGGATTAGGGAGGAAGGGGAGGGTGGGGTGGGGGTGGTCCCCCTCACAAACCCACGCTCACACACACGCAGCTGCTCACGCTCTCACACCGACTCAAACACACTTGCACACACAGCATCACACGTACACACTTCTATGTGTGACAGGGCACCGCAGAGGGGAATGGGGGACTCTCCAGGGCACTCTTCCCCGCACTCTCCCAGGCTGCGTCTGCCCTGCCCGGGCTCCCCGGGCCATCCTGGTCCCTCTGCCCTCCTTCCCCGGGGCTCTTGTCCACTCCCAGTCCCCGTGCCAATGACCAAGGCCTCCTCAAGCAGCCTGTTTCCAGCTGCCACCCGGATTCCCTGCAGGTTAACCTGGCCCTGTCCTGGCCATCTCTGAGGCCACTCCAGCCTGGGCCGTGCCTGGGGGTCCCTTCACCTGCCCCCTAATCCATCACCAAGGCCACGGTTCTGCCCCAGCTCCCACACTCCCTCCCACAGGCCACCTGTCCTCCTCTCCTGGTCCCTCTCTTACTCCCACCCTGGTCAAGGCACCAACTGGATGCCCCTCGGTCACCAGGGTCTTCCCATCACTGGCACATCACTGCCATTCCTTGGGCCCTCCATGGCTCCCTGGGGCCGTCAGAGGCAGTCCCAGTGGTGCCCTGAGCCCCCTCTGACCTCAGTTCCCACTGCAGGAATGCCCTGTCCCGCCCGGGCCTGGCCTCCCCAGCCCTGCAGGGCCCACTCGCACCAGCACCCCCTGTCTCCATGTTGTCAGTTCAACACCTCTGCCCCCCACCCCCAGGCCGGGAGCTCTGTGTCAGCCTCGCGCCCACCCAGGGCCTGGCCCCGGCTCTCTGGGTCCTGCATGAAGTCTGGGGGTGCTCCCAGGGCCGGGGCCGGAGGCACAGTGCTGCCGGTGGGGTGGAGGACTCCACGCCGCCTTTCCCCTCTTCCCTCCCCTCTCCTGCCTCACAGCCTTTCACCCGCTGGGGACAGGAGCCAGCAGAGCCTGGGCCAGGATTTTGCAATGTTTCACCAAAGGCGTCCTGGGGTTGGCCTGGGGTGCAGTGGGGCACGAGTCCGGGGGTGGGTGGCCTGTGTGAACTCTGGCCCAGCTGCTGTGGCCACCTCCTCCAGTCTCTGTCCCCCAGAGGCTGATGGACACATCCTCCCTGGCCCCTGACCCCAGCCCTCCTGACCCCTCAGTCGAGGCCCACCCTGCATTCCCTCCTAGTACCCCACCTGCTGCCACCGAACAGTGTTTACCTCACCCTCCCTGGACACGGCAGAAAGAGACCCTGAAAAACCAAAGCTGCTGCTGTGGGGGTGTCCGAGCCTAAAACAGGCCCTCAGTGGAGCTGACGCTAAAACAGCTGAGCCGGAGCCACTAAAACCAGCCTGTGCTGTCTCCGCTGGTGGCCGTGGCACTGCGGCGGTGGTGGGAGCAGTAGAGGCAGCCACCGGCCCCGTCCAGATCCACCAACCCAGAGAGCCGCAGCCACGACCCAAACCCACTGCCTCCCAAACCCGGGGCCTGGGCCTGAGCCAGGGGCTGCATGGCAGGGCCGGGGATGCACCGGAGGCCTCTGCTCACCTTCGCCCCGCAGTGCCCTCCCTGACCCTCCTCTGGGACCATCCTCCGACTCCAGCCTGGGGCATCACAGCTCACGCTCGCACACCACCCCCGGCCGAGTGCCCACTCTGTGCCCTCCCATCGGGGGACTCTGCCCACCCTGTGTGTAGCCTGAGCTGTGAGGAGGATCCTGGGAGGACGCCTGCCAAGTGCTTCCCAGGGCACACAGTAGGTGCCTGATAGGTGCTGCAGGCACAGACCCCAGGACTTCATCATTAGAATCCAGGGGACTCCTGGGACAAGGAGCTGGGAGTGAGGCCCAACACCCTCTGTGCTGAGACCCTCGAAGTCAGAAGCCCAGCTGGGTGTGACTTCGGGGGAGCCACACCACCCCTCCTGCTTGTCCTGGGTCTGGTCCACCCGGGGCTGGGGGAGGCAGGGCTGCCCCCTGCGGAGGCTCATGCCCTGGTCCATATAAGTGGGTGAGGCTGGGGGCATCTGGAGGGGCCAGGGGGTTGGCGGCCTCTGTGTGTGGTGCCAGGCCGGACAGGTCCCTTGCCGCCCTAGGCTCTGGGCCCCGGTGTTTGGATGAGGATGAGCCTCAGTGGGGCTGTGGCGGGAGATCCCCAAGGAGCCGGAAGCTGGGCCCGGCCGCCTTGCCCACGTTTGCCTCCGATTTGCATGGGGCTCCCACCAGGCCCAGCTCCAGGGCCCTGCAGGCTCAGACACAAGCGCACGGCTCCCCAGTTGGTCTCACGTGGGGACTTCCTGGAGGGCGAGACCCAGCTCGGCTGAATCTCAATGCTGATTCAGAGCAGAGGGAGGGCGGGGGGGGGGGGGGCATAGAACAAGTGCAGAGGGGAGAGAGGTGCTCAGCACCGAGGGGCTGGGCTAGGGGCCACAGTGAGGCCAAGAGTTTGGACGTCAGAGCTGTGCAGTTTGGAGCCAGGCAGGAGGTCTCCCAAAGAAATAGGTGCTGGTGGCCTGAGTCCCAGGGGATTTTCGGGACCCTAGGCCCCAGGGCCTACAGCAGTGATGATGTTTTGGAAGTTTCTGGAGCTGCTGCAGCTGGTCCAAAGGCTAACCTGGGCTGCTTGGACCATGCTCGGGCCCTCTGCAGCTGGGACCTCCAGAGGGCCTGGTTGCAGCAAACATTCTCCCAGGACATGGTCAGGGCCTTGGAGATACATGTTTAGTGAGCACTTGCTGCACACCTGCCCAGGCTCAGCACACTCCTGTACCCCGTGCCAGCCCTGGGGGCACTGCCATCACGCCTGCGTCAGAGAGAGCAGTGACCTTCACAAGCATGGGGCTTCTTGGGGAGGACGAGCCCAGGGTTGGCAGTTGGCTTGCTGGGCACTCAGACAGGAGTACTGCTGCCAGGGCATGGACTCTGCCCAAGAACGGGTCAGGCTTGGAGAGAAGCAGAGCAGGAGAGACAGCATCTTCAGGTCAGGCTCGATCTGGCTCCGCCGCCAGCTCTGGGCAGCACCCACACAGCTCAGAGATAGCAAGCGTGGGTACCCCAGTCCCTGTGGGTCTCCTCCTTTAATGTCTCAGAAACAGACTTCGGTGGGGGCAGAGGGGAGAGTCCCCACGCCTGGGCGTGGTAGGGGCAGAGCAACTTGGCTGGAAGTCCTGCTCATGTAGAACGGACCAGAATGGCACCAGCAGGGTCTGTTTGTGTGGCACTCGGCACCCTGCGGCTCATGCTGGTGCCCGAGGCTCCCTGCAACCTGCCCTCAACCCGCCTCTCAACTTTCCAGGCCTGCTAGGAGTGGACCCAGGCCTGTGGGCAGGGGACAGATCGGGCAGCCACAGCCCAGACGTGGAGCTGGGCCAAGGCTAGGGACAAGCCTGCCAGATGAGCCCCATGAAGCCGATGCCACCTCCAGGCTGTACCTGGGTTGCTCTGCAGAGATCTTCCAGACTCTGCTGAAAGGACCCAGGTCTGGCTCCTGGGAGTGTCCCCAGGGCCAGCATAGGCCAGGCACTGAGAGACATCAGGGCTTTTGGATCCCAGGATGCAGCAGTGTCGGGGCTCCAGGGACCCCAGCCCAGGAAAAGACACCCACTGGGGAGAGTCTGGCAACCCTGAGCTGTGTCAGCCCTTCCTGGCCCGGCCCACACTTTTCTTGAACCCTCAAGTGCCTGTGCCTTCCCAGGCCCTTCTGGCTCCTGATGTTGCCCTGGGGGTTGGGGCGGGTTGAGGAGGCAGGTCCTGGGCTGCTGGAGCTCTGGGCCAGCCCCCGAGTCTGGGCTCGAATCCAGGACTGGGAGAATCCAGAGGGGTCCAGGAGGCCCTCCCTGCTCTGAAAAGGGATGGGGATCTCTTTTCAGGGCTTCCCCAGCCCACCCTGACCCTGGGCCGTGAGGTGGCCTGGACGGAGCATGCAGTTCAGGAGAGGCCGGGCTGTTTTCCAACCACAGGGCCACTTCCCTATTCCTGGGAAGTGACATTAGGGGAGACAGGAGGGCCCAGGCCAGCCCAGAAGCTGAGCTGGCCCCTGGCAAGGGGATGTCCCGACTCCTGCCCAGCTCATTCCCGAACACCACCTGCTCACTCTTGCTGGTCCTGAGCAGACCAGGCTACCCAGGGCTTCCTAGAGGTGGCGGCACGGTGGGTGCTCCAGAGCCCAGGATCTGGGAGGGACCCAACCTGGCTTGGGGACAGCTGGGCCCCAACCTGGGAGATATCTCGAAGCGCCATGGTGGCTGGTCAGTCTCCATGAAGGCCCAGGGAGCAAGGCAGCTCTGTGCACACCTGTGCCGAGGCGAGTGCTGGGGTGCGAGGCACCCCTGGGGCAGATTCATACCATCTCTCTCTCCTCCTGAGAAGGACCCCAGCCCATCCTGCCACGCCAGACCCCATGGCTGGTGGCTGGTGCAGGGAGGCCCCGGTCCCTCCTCCCACAGGGGCCACGGTGCAGCCTTCCTGCCCCTCAGTGGACAAGGCTGGTGGGCTGTGCCTGGGGTGGCTGAGGGTTGGAGACTCAGAGTCTTGCAAACGTGTCCATCGTCCAGACGGGGACCCTCAGGCCCAGGGAGAGGTCACCCTGTCCGCCCCACCCACACCCCCCCCGTGCAGCAACTGAGTCACATGGGGGTGGAGTGGGGCCTCATAGACCCCCTGTGGGACCTCCCCCCATTGTGGGCATTGGACTCTGTCCAGGAACCAGGGTCATGTCCTCTCAGCCTAACCTGGGCTCTGAGAGGGGCAGTGCGGCATTGGCTAGTGTGGAGATGGGCATGGCCGGCATAGCGACTGAGTCCCCAAGGGTGGGTGGCTGGGGCTGGGCTGCATCTGAGGGGGAAGGGGACCCACGGGCCCTCCTGGCCTGCACTTTCCCAGGCTCATCCACAGGAAGGTGGCGGCTGTATGGCTGAGTCATCGTGAAAGAACGGAAGGAATGGGAAGAATCCTGCACTTTTACGCTCTGGCTGGGCTCCCCACCCCCAAGAAATTCCTCATCCTGCGCTGCCCCCAGGCCTGCAGGCCCCCAGCCCATCCTGTTCCCGCTGCCACTCTGACTGCAGCGGGCTCCTGAGGGACCCGCTCATCCGCAGCCCACTCTCTGGGGTCCACCCTGGCCAGGCCGGCTGCACTGCAGGGGGCTGCGCTGTGACCCTCACACCCTCCTCAGCAGCAGGGCAGGACCCCTCCTCGGGTCTGGCTTTTCTCTCCTGTTTTACTGAGGCAGCCCCAAGGCTGGGCTCTGCGGATGGAGTATGCGGGCACTCCCCAGCCCTGCTGGTGGCCTGCTCACTCCCGCCCCCACCTCCCAGCGCTCCCCTCCCCGAGCACCCCTGCTGCCCTGCACTGTGGCCTCCCTCCAGGAAAGGTCGGGGGCCCAGCCAGGCGTGAACTCCAGCCCCTGGGGATGGAGTGTGGGTGGTGGGGAGCCAGCTCCAGGCTGGGCCCGGGCGGTGGGGAACCTGGGCAGGCATCTTGTGCCCAGCAGTCAGGCCGTGCCCGTGCCACACGTGGCTCCTGGCCCCCACGAGCCAGGTTCAGGCCTGAGCAGCACCGTGAGGGAGGAAGGGAAGGCAGGTACGGCAGGTGCAGGCTGGTCCGGCTCTGCTGGAGCCCAGGGCACGAGGCCTCCTGCTCCCTGGACGCCCAGGCTGGCCACTGCTGCCGGCACCCTATCCCCACCCACACAGGACGGGATCACACACCCACCAGGTGATGGTGGTATAAGTGCCTCAACTTTTGAGTGGGGGCTGTCCAGAAGAGGAGGACCAGCTTCCTGCCCCTAGCCGCACCCCTGGGGAGAAACTCTCCACCTGGGCAGGAGGGTCCAGGGCTCAGGCCCAACTTCCTGCCTAACCCTGAGGGTTGAGTCCTCCCCAGGCCCCAAACTGGCTGCTGCCCAAGGGGAGGAGGGCGGCCCCGGGATCCCACACATCCTGCGTCTTTCTGTCCCTGCTTTCTGGGTGTCCTCATCTCTGTCACACCCTCTGGGCGTTCCCAGAGTGGCTTTGCTGGCGGGGGTGGGAGGGGAGCCGCTGACTTGTAGTTTCTGGGACGCGCCGTTTTGGGGTTTCGACCCGGCCCTGGAATCCCTCCCAGGTGGGCGCGGCAGCTGGTCTGGGACCCTGGGGCTGATGCACCCCATAGGCAGCAGGAGAACAGAGCTCATGGGGCCACCCCGCCTGTGACACTGATGCTGCTGTCCATCCCGCCCCCCATGCCCAGGTCCTGCCACTGCTCCATGCCCCAAGGGGCTCTCTGCACGCCTCCATGTGGTGCAGCCTCTGGAGCTTGTTTCTGCACACATCACCCCCTGCTCTAAAGCCTTTGGTGGCTCCCTGTTGCCTGTGGAGGAGAGGCAGAGCCGCTGGGCCGCAGCTCTCAGCTGCCAGGTGCACGTGCGGTGCACACCCACTCTCGCGGGGCTCTGGGAGGAAGGCATGAGCTGGCGGGGAGTCTCCTGCGAGCCCAGCAGGTGGTGAGCGCTCAGCGGGTCCACGCGGTTCGGCCTCTCCTGCCCCTTCCCAGCAACCGGAAGCCCTCAGCCAGCCACCTTTCACCTCAGGACTTAACACTGCTGTTCCCCGTGCCACCTCTTGGGCTTCAGCCTGGGTTTGCCTCTTCCGAGGCCCCGCCCCCCACCTCCAGCCCCCAGCTGGGTCAGGGCTGGTTGGGCAAGTGCTGGGTCGTGCGCTAGACTGAACTGGCCTTGGGGCAGCTGCAGAATCTAGCTCAGGCCTGGGGGGGCAGAGGTCGTTTCAGGTCCCGTATCCCATTCCTGGAATCCCTGGTAATGACACAGCTTGTCAATCGGGAGCAGGGTCAGGACAGGCGGGGGAGGGAGGTAGCTGCACCCCACACAGTTAGAACCTACCCACCAGCCCTGTCCCCATGTGCTCCTCCTCTTCATCCTCACTAACAGGTGGGGAAACTGAGGCTCAGGCAGGCAGATGGCTGAGCAGGCCCCAGCTGGCTGTGGGGAGGTGGGGTGGGAGGTGGGGGGGTTTCAAAGCCACGCCTGGGCTCGGTCCAGGGCCGGCAGGCTATGCAGGAGGGCAGGGGGCACCTGAGGCCTGTCTCCTGGGCCAGGCCCTGGACAAGCCTTGGGGGCTGGGTGTCTCTTGTGAGCAAGATTTTCTGTCAAGGAGGGTGAGGGAGGGAGACTGTGGCAGAGGCCACCAGCCCGGTGGAGGGTGGCGGGAGGGAGGGAGCCCAGGCACGTCAGGGGCAGGAGCGGTGGGCTGGGCCAGGCTGGCAGGGCCGGGTCTGCAGTCCTGAAATCCCACCGGCCTGGGATCCTGGGGCTCTCAGCAAAGGTGACTCAGTGGCTTGCCTGGGTGTGGAGCTTTTCAGTGAGACCTGGGTAGGGGCCAGCATCAGGCCAGCCTGGACATTGTGGCCACAGGCCTGCTGGAGCAGGGCTGCCTGTCAGACCAGCACACAGTGAGTGCGAGCGGCTGGCCCTGCCTCAGAGAGCTGCAGGGCTCTGGAGAGCAGTAGCTGGGCTGCCCTGGGGCTGGGGGTGGAGTGGGAAGATCCGGGGGTGGGGCTGTGGAGGAGGCTCTTGGCTCCACCCAGGGTCCAGGCGCAAGGCCAGACGTGACATCCTGGTGGGGGCTGTGGGCCTCACAGCCCAGTTGTCCCCCATCCCAGCATCTCTGGACAGTGGGATGGATAGAGTGGCCCTGGCTGGGCCCTGGCTGGCCTGTCTGCCTGAGCCTCTCCCGCAGCCCAGCCTCTGAGGCTTGCCCTGCTCTGCCACCCCAAGCTGGGCAAGTGGGCCTCAGGCAAGTGGGCCGCCCGCCCACGGTGCTACGTAGGGTGATGCCCATGACGCAGGCTTCGGCCTCTGTTCCGCCTGCTGCTGGCTGGGCCCCAGTCCCCAGGCACACGTGAGCACACACACTCTCTCACACACGCACACGCACCAGTGCACGTGGCCTGCAGCTGGTCCGACCGGTTCTACATGGCAGCCCTTGGCCGGTGCAGGCCTCCCGGCACCCAGCCCCTGTCCTGGTGACTCAAGCCTTGGTCTCCTCACGTGGGAGCAGCAGCACTGTCCAACCCGAGGCTCTGTGGGCTGAGCACGAGGTGACACCTCCCCACTGGTGTGGGGGTGGGGAACGGGAGAATGGCAGACCCCGGGCACTGGGGGACTGTGGGGACCCCCAAATGCAGCTCCCTCAGTCATGAGGCCAAGGAAATGTGCCTCCTGCCCAGCACCCCACACCCCTGCCCCCTGAGGGGCCCCCAGCCACGCGGTGCCCCGGCCCTGCCCTTGTCCATGCCGCTTTCCCTCGTACGCGTCCATCTGCCAACAGGGCCTGGGAAGAGAGGCCCGCAGACCCCCTGGCAACCACCCCACAGGCCCCCAGCAGCTGCCAGCGGGCAGCTGAGTCAGTTCTTTCCTAGTTATTCGGTTACTGGTTACAGGGTTTGTCCACCAACCCAATGTCCCTCCAACAACTCGGCCCAGACTAGACCCCACCCCCACCTGTCACTGGAGTCCACAGGTCATCCCCAGCCCCCAAAAGGGGACTGCAGGGCTGGAGGGGCGTGTGCACCTCTGCAGGGGTGATGAGCGTGTGCACGCGTGGGCTGGATGTGCATGAGCCCACTGTGTGTGTCGTGATGTGGGTGGGCCCAGGCAGACGTGTGCTTGACCCGTGGCCCGTGTCTCGCTTGTCTGGCAGACCTGGCAGCAGTCTCCCCAGGAGCAGGTGGCCCTGCCCCTTTCACACCAAGCCCTCCCCTGCGCCCAGCTGTACAGTGGAAAGTCCAGCAGCCCGAGGCCACGCACGCAGGTGCAGCTGTCACCGCCTGTGACCTGCCTCACCTGAGGCTTCACCTCTCGGCCGGTAACCGGCATGGTCCAGGGAGTAGAGGGCCCCAGCCCTGGGCTGAAGGCGGCAGCCCCGGGGCCTGCACCTGTCCCCAGGACTCGTGGACCCCCGGGAGATTTGGAGCTGCCCTCTCCACCTCCCCTGCCAAGGACCTTCATCCCAGGCCCCCTCCAGTGGGAAGCCTGCCCCCTGCAGCCCTAGGGAGGCTCTGTTCTAGAGGGCAGGAGGGGGCAGATCTGCCCATAGAGAGCAGACAAAAACTCAGATGTGTGCCTAAGTCTGGGTAGTGGCACCAGAAATTTCGATCCAGCCGCCCCTACAAACCTGGGCCCTCTCAGGGTGTCAGGGGTGCAGTCGGGACAGGGGGCAGGGGATGGGGGCGGTGGGAACACAGCAGGGGCATGGGGCCGGGGCGGGGCAGCCGGGCACACAATGGGGCCTTGTCCATGCTGGCCTGTGGCTGCCGGGTGCCCTGAGCAAACACACACCCTGTTCCCAGTTGCACACTGTGTCCCGGGTGCGGCCGTGGCGCTGTGCCAGCGGGAAGGTGCTCGGGGCCAGCGCACGCGCCTCTGACGGTCCCGGCACCCACAGGCCTCCGCGGAGCCCTCCCTGACAGGCCCTGGTCCTGGCCGCTTCACCAGGTCCGGCCTTTCCAGGAGCCCCGTGGGGGAGGGCTGCTCCCTCCGGCCCCACCTCCAGCTCCGCGCCCCTCCCAGCCAGGCCAGGCCTGCTGCCTCCACTGCGGTCACCTGGAGTGCTGCCTCCCTGCCTCCTGCCATCCCATGCCTCTGTCCACAGGCACCACTGGCCCTGGGCCCTCCTGTGTCGCCTCACTACTGACAGGCCCACAGGTCCCTGCTGAGCCCCTCCTGGCCTGGCCCTCTCTGGGGAGTGAGCACCAGCAGCAGCAAGGACCTGCCAGGGCCCCCTGCCCACCTTGTGGCCCACATCTCCCTCAGGCCTGCCCCAACCTGCCACACTGACGGGGCGGCCTGGCCGGCTCTGCCTCCCCGACTGTCCTTATACTGGGTCCTGGGCAGGGACTGGGGTGGAGGATCCTCCAGGGTTGGGC